AGGTGCCGGGTGTAGCCGAGCTGGGTGCGGGAGCGGTGCCCGCGGGTGCCCGTGTCCCGCCCTCCGGGAACTGCCCTTTGTCACACTTGGCCCAGTGCCGGGGAGTCTCTGTCGCTGCCCCTTGTTCCATGCGGTTGGGGGCGATTTCCAGCCAGAGTTTGCCAGCTGCTCAGACCTCAATGGTCCCTCCTGGCCTGGGGCCTGTGAACCCAGGGGTGGCTCACGGGAGAGCAAGTGGTTGAAGTGCTGCAGGTTAAACTGTGTCCGTGCCCCCAGACGTAAGTCCCGTTCTGTTTGCCCTCTTGTTGCAGCCATGTGATGTTACCAAAGGATATAGCCAAGCTGGTCCCTAAAACACACCTAATGTCTGAATCGGAGTGGAGGAACTTAGGAGTTCAACAGAGCCAAGGCTGGGTCCATTATATGATCCATGAACCAGGTTGGTTGTCCATGATTCATGTCAGGAAGCCTCTGGGCTTCTTTGCCAGGCTGGGATAGTGATTAAAATTACATCCATTCTAGTTAGCACTCGCACTGAGTCTGGAAGATGCTAGACTTGCTGAGTCTGCGTATACTGGGTGACAGCTGGAAGCCAAAATCCTGTTGGGTGCTGGATATGGGGCAAGTTTTGTGCTGCCTTGGACTGTGCAATCGGAATGACTTCAGTGGGAGTTCAGCATAAGTAAGGAAAGTGGAATTTGGCCCCCAGCTGCCTTACTGACTGAACAGAAGGAGCATCCCAACTTCCTGCAACGCAAAGTCTGTGGCAGACTGAATCTTCTGCTGTTACAAATCAGAATTTAGACTCCTGCTCTTCTCGCTCCTTCCTAGGAGAGTACCTTCCCCCCTTTAATTGGCTGTAAACACGGCAGCATGCTGTTTACAGTAGAACGGTACCCAGCAGACATGGGGAAAGAACCAATGTTGCATGTTCAGTACTCCAGATGAAACACTGACGTACAGGGTCTTTCAGAACTGATCTTTGTGACAGTGCTTGAGAGAGAACTGATGTTGACCTCAACCAATTGGGATTCCTTTTCGAGGGACCTTTGGGGGTGTTGGCTGGCTCATGGGGGAGACACAATCTATAACCTGAATACACTCTATGGGATCCGAGTTACGAACATTTGGCCCGTAACTCTGGGAGCGGCTGTATAAGTCTGGCCAAAGGGGGCTTTTGGAAACTAGACCAATCTGTCAGTATTGATTTACTGCGCTCGCTTCCCATGGCTTTGCAAATAGTGTTTCCTACCCAAACATCCTAGACTAGGACAGGTTAAAATGCATCTGATCCCTTTTCCTAACGTTCTGTTCCATCTCCTCTCAGAGCCTCACATACTGCTGTTCCGACGGCCGCTGCCAAAGAAGCCAGAAAAATGAACCTATTACGTCTGACCTGTGTATAGAATCTCCTCCCTCTTTGCCGTCTTTTAAATACATGCACCTTTGGGGGGGAGGGGTTGTCTCCTGTTTTAAAATATTTGGCACATGTTCTCAATACATTAAAACTCCTGGTGATTAACTTCAAGAAAATCCAATCATCATGACAGTAGTGGCTGGTAGACAATGACTTGACTCAAAACTAGAGTCTGGCCTTCACATAAGAAATGTACAGACCCCCGTGATTCTTACCTATTGAATGTCCATGTGTCCTGAGTTCTACTTGAGCTGAAAAATCTAGACTTGCATAGTTGAAGCATGAATATTTTAACATGGTTTGACATGTGATAGTTGCTGCTTGTACCTTCTACTCCAGGAGATATGTTGAACTTTACTGCAGGTGGACACTGTAGCCAGTTGCTTGGCATCGGCTTTCGCTGTTTGATGCGTACTTTTGAGTTTGCATTTTAGAATAATGTTTAAAGTTCTGGAAAGTCTGTTTGAAATCCATGGTTTAAGTCCTTCAATAAAGAGGAAGGTTTTTTTAAGTACATGGTTTTCCCCTCATTCATCTGAAACAATCCTCTGTGCCATGCTTTGTTGTGTAAACACTGGATTTCCCTCCTTTCGGCCTGTGGGTGTTGCTGACACATGCCTTTGTTTTTGTTTTGCTTCATTAGTGTCACCTGTTAATCCTCCACAGATGTGTAGAGAGAAATATCTTTGTAGGATTCTGGTAATGTGCCTTAATCTCATTTGCTCTCAGAAAATCTTTCCTAAATAGTCATGAGGTAATAAGCCTTTTAAAGTGTTATGATGAGACTAAGTACTCAATGTTTCTCCCACCCAGTGGCTACAAAATTAGCCTTGATGTGCCCTAAGATGAACTTTCTGTCCCTCCCCTCCAAAAGAGCTTATATACCGCTACAACTGTAGCAGAAGACATCTCACTGTCTAACTGGCTTCAGGTGGGTTTCCCTAACAGGGAGACTACTTGGCTACATCTAGACTGGCATGATTTTCCGCCAATGCTTTTTATGGAAAAGTTTTCCATTAAAAGCATTTGCAGAAAAGAGTGTTTAGATTGGCACGGACGCTTTTCCGCAAAAGCACTTTTTGCGGAAAAGCGTCTGTGCCAATCTAGATGCGCTTTTCCGCAAAAAAGCCCCGATCGCCATTTCTGTGATCGGGGCTTTTTTGCGCAAAACAAATCTGAGCTGTCTACACTGGCCCTTTGTGCAAAAGGACTTTTGCCCGAACGGGAGCAGCATAGTATTTCCACAAGAAGCACTGATTTCTTGCATGAGATCGCTAGTGTTCTTGCGGTAATTCAAGGGGCCAGTGTAGACAGCTGGCAAGTTTTTCTGCAAAAGCATTTGTGGAAAATCATGCCAGTCTAGATGTAGCCCTGGGGAGGAAAGGGAGGCAGCTCCAAGGCAAAGGGCAGGAGGTGCACAGCAGTGCAGGGAGAGGCAGCTGAACTTGAGAGCCTCTTGGCCAAACTAGTCAAGATCACCTGTCAGAGGCTTTAAGATCTACTGGTAGAGCCCGATCGACTGGTTGGTGACCACTGCAGTAGGGGCTATTCAAGTACAGCTCCTCTGTTTCTCTTCTAGAGAAACGGGTCAAGCACCTCTACTGTAGGTAGCTGCAGGCTTCTGACTTCCTGGTTTCTCGTCAGCCAAGTCACTGCTCCCTTACTGGTGGGGGTGGGAGGGGAGAAATCATGACTGAGCAGTGAAGTAAGGGGATAGTTCAGTGTGTAAATGTGGTCTGGAACCATGTCCCTAGTAAGAGAAGCCAATAGCTACTAGTTCCTCAAGCAGGCTGCCAGAGCTTTCTCCACCTCCTCACTGGTGGCTGTAAGTAGGGCCCCATGGTGCAAGGAGGGAAGGGCCACAAGCCCGTTCCCTGGGCTGCGCCGGGGCAGGGTGTGACGTGGGGCTGTCTGTCTTGTAACCCACTGTTCTCTCCTGGCTGTGTGGTTTGATTCCTGATGATTCACTTCACCTGTGGATTGGCCCAGACACTTACTGCCAGCCTGAGCAGATAAGAAGGCTGTTCCCAGAGAGAGAGGCAAAGGAAGATAGGTGGGGATAGCCACCTGGCTGGGGGGTAGGGTGTGAGAGCTGGGTTGGTCTTGGCTGGGGGGAAGGATGAGGAGATCAGACTAAGTCCAGGACAGCGGGATTCAGGGGCCTGTGAAGCCCCTTCCTCCCCCCGCCTTGGAGGACTAAGGCTGTCTGCCCTGTCTCCTGTGATAACATCAACCAGAGGGTATGGTGTCTTGCTGAGAACCAATACACCTGGGCTACGTCTAGACTGGCAGGATTTCCTGGAAATGCTTTTAACGGAAAAGTTTTCCATTAAAAGCATTTTTGGAAAAGAGCATCTTTTTTGCAGAAAAGCGTCCGTGCCAATCTAGAGGTGCTTTTCTGCAAAAAAGCCCCGATTGCCATTTTCGCGATTGGGGCTTTTTTGCGGAAAACAAATCTCAGCTGTCTACACTGGCCCTTTTGCGCAAAAGTTTTGCGCAAGAGGGACTTTTGCCTGAACGGGAGCAGAATAGTATTTCCACAAGAAGCACTGATTTCTTACAGTAGGACATCCGTGCTTTTGCGGAAATTCAAGCAGCCAGTGTAGACAGCTGGCAAGTTTTTCCGGAAAAGTGGTTGATTTTCCGGAAAAACTGCCCAGTCTAGACACAGCCCTACTCTACAGGCCGGATGAGAGTTGCATCTGGCTGTGGATGGGGGTGCAGGGTCGGCGACCCCCCTGATATATCAAAGGGTGCACAGGTTTGGTGGCATGGGGCAGGCAGCAAGCGCAGTCTATGCAGTGGGCAGGGTGCATGGCTAGGGTGGGGGTGCATGGCTAGGGTGGCATGGTGTGGGGCAGGCAGCAGGGGCCATGGCTAGGGTGGCATGGTATGGGGCAGGGGGCATGGCTAGGGTGGCATGGTATGGGGCAGGGGGCATGGCTAGGGTGGCATGGTGTGGGGCAGGGGGCATGGCTAGGGTGGCATGGTATGGGGCAGGGGGCATGGCTAGGGTGGCATGGTGTGGGGCAGGGGGCATGGCTAGGGTGGCATGGTGTGGGGCAGTCAGCAAGCACAGTCCATGCAGTGAAC